TATGTAACTCAACCTGAGCAGCCCAGGGGGCCCTGTCTTGCTGTCTAAGTAGAACTTATGGAAAAGGTTTACAGCAGCACTCTTCCTAACTACAGTAAACACCTTGTGTTTGTTTTCATTGGTGTATGATTGGTTCCAAGGTGCCTATTATTGAGAAAAAGTGAATGCTTAGGATGCACAGAGCTCATCACTGTATTGCAGATGCTTGATTCATTTTTCCCATATTGCATCCAACTTTTGTTGAAGACATGCCACCTTTCTATAAACCTAAAATTTTTGCTTTATCTCTTAAATTAAGCACATTATGTGCCTTTTTTTTGCTTAGGAGGATTACCGTAACTTTTAATTTCTTCTTGGGTACCATTTGCTTTCTGGGAGGCTGGTTTACACAAAATTAAAAGAACAGAAACACTCAGCTGATCACGTAATGCCTTCAACACAACTGATGACAATGCGGGACTGAATGAGAGCTTCTCGGCATCCACTGAGCTGTGTGATGCATGCTAAATTAAACATTTTTTGAAATTTCTTTTGATTTAAAAAAAATTTTTTTGAACATGCTTAATCCAAACCACGTGTAATAAATCGAAGGCAGGCTTACAGTACCACCAACTGAAAATAAGCTCATCATTCCATAGGAAAATAGGGAGACCTTGGGACACATCACTCAAAGGGGCTTCCCACTAGGCTTGAATGATCTTATACACGATGCTGAAGAAAAAACAGCTGCAAAATAAACATATACTACCTAATTCTACCTTTAGAACTAAAACTTGACCATTGTGATTTAGGGATACAAGCAGGTGTAATACGTACATAAAGAATGGCAAACAAATGGTTCATTTTTTAAATGTATTATTTTTAATTTCTTAAGGTAAGAGGTTGGTTCAAGACTCTTAACATGCTTCTTAACTCCTACAAACACCGCACATACTTTACAAAATATGATGTTCACTTAGGAACATCAAAGTGAATCTAATCACAAAGCTCCAAGGACTCAAAAACAAACAAAATAAGGATAATACGAAATTTTCAATCAGGCTTGTGTCACAGGATCTTCATTAATGTGGCAAATGGAAGTACGGAGTAAAAAATTGGATTCAAAGCTCATGGCGTAAATAAAATTAAGTTCTACACACAACAACGTTTAAAAACGCTGGGGCACACAAATAATAGTGCTTAAAAGATCGAGGATTTTTTGTAACTGCTCGGAAGGCCATTCGAAAAACACGCACCAAGGGCGCGTGCGCAGGAACGGGGGCGGGGGGGGGTCCTCTGTAAGACACTAAGTCTTAAAACTTGTTAAGAACTAGACATACTATCAAGTCAACCGGCAAGCTGTAAAACTTGGAGAGGGAAGCATAAGTGACAAGTAATTAATGTCATCAAATAGAAGGCACATTCGCAATCCAGTAGGACCCCACGCACACACACGCGGGCCCAGCAGCCGTACCTTCTAGAGCGCGCCGAACCTTCTCCTTCCTCTCGTGGGCGGATCGCTGCGCCTCCTCGCGGGCCTTTCGGTACAGGTACTCGCGCCGCAGGCGCGCCTCCCGGCGAAGCTGGGACACAGGCCACATCACTACCTGGCCTTGAGCCCCTGGGACCACAACCCTCCGCCATCCCACCCCTACAGCAGGAGCTCCGACACCCTTCCTACCATTACGAGCACCGCTTCCACGTGAGTGTACGAAGCCAGGCGGACCGCGCTGGCCCAACAGATTCCTCGCTTCCGCCCTCAACCAAGAAGGCCGCCAGAGGCTTCACTACAGTCGATTGCTGACAACAGTGCCCGATGTTAAGATGGCGAACAGCGGAGGGCGTCGCAAGGCTACCGGTTCTTGATTTTACGACCAGTAAACAAGATTGAGAATGTCACGTGGCTTTCAGCAGACGTTAATAAGGAGTTCGCCTAGGGCTTCAAGTTATCCCAGCGTAGGATTTTGATTTTAAGGTGGTGAGCAGCTGAAACAGCTACAATTGCTCCAAGCGGTCAAACGTAAAAGCAGCACAACGAATGATTGGTTGCCTTCCGGCTCCTTCTAGAGTTAAGTTTAAAGTCGCCACTCCTTAATCAAAATGGTTGCCATACAGCCTTGCTATACCTACATTGTCACAGTGGTAGCCGACTTCTAGAATTCATCCGCTTCTGGAAGCAATGCGGAACCAGGCTGATCCTCTAGTGCTAATCGGAGACACCAATTTTTCGCCACTGACTCCAGCAGGGGACTGCCGGTTAACTGATTCACTCAGTAGTGCCCTTGAAACCGTTGGACCACGATTAAGAACGCCCCTTAAAGGCGAGTCTCGGGCACCGATTGGCTGTTATGCAGGCGCGCCTAGTGGTGATTGGGCGACTTGGAAGGAGTCGTCCTAGGCCGGGGTCTGGGCCCAACTGACACCCAAGTGTGGCTGGCAGATGGCAGCACCGGACCTGCGGGCGGAGCTGGACTCGCTATTTCTGCAGCTTCTCGGGGACCTGGAGGAGCTGGAGGCGAAACGGGCGGCACTGAACGCCCGAGTGGAGGAGGTGGGCGCCTGGGGCGGGAGGGAGGGCACCCAGATGTAAGCTGAATCTCAACCCTGTGCTCTCTTCTCAGGGATGGCTCTCGCTCGCCAAGGCCCGCTACGCCATGGGTGCCAAGTCGGTAGGGCCCCTGCAGTATGCCTCCCACATGGAGCCCCAGGTCTGCGTGCGCGCCAGGTGAGGAACCTGCAATGGTGTAGCGGGTGGGCGGGCGGGGCCCAGGCCCGGGCAGTAAAAGGGCCATCGTACCTTCTTGTCCTTCAGCGAGGCCCAGGACGGAATCCAGACGTTCAGGGTTGTCAGAGCTGATGCCCAGACCCCAGAGGAGGTGGGGCCCCGCGAGGCAGGTGAGAATCCCTTCCTGTGTCAGAACCCCATCCCATCCCAATGTCAAAGACAGAGCACACAGAATAGTTGAGATGATTGTATTCGGGCTGGGGCAATAGAGCACCCCTAAGTTGAAGAGCAGAATGTTAAGACTTTAGGGAGGATTAGAGAAGTTACAGGGGGTTGCTTTACGGTGGGATGCTTTTGAAATGAAGGGCCTTCTCAGTAAGCTAAAAAGAAAACGTTCATCTCTGTGTCTAGCAATTTTGGAGGAATATTCTAATATCAGTTAATCATTCCTTAAAGAGCAGAGAGTTTGAAGATCCGTGTTAGGTCTTTCAGCATCTTCTGGCAAAATTGGCACGGTCAGGGTGTGGCCTTGTTAGGGTCAAACAGTGTCATCTGTGGGCCTTGTGGGAGTCAGAAGGAAGAGTGTCATTTGAACTGTAAGGGCAAGGGTGGTGCTATTTCCACAAACATAAAAGTTGGGAGATTTTCTAACCTTAAGTGTTTTCCAGAATGGTGAGCTCAAATTAAGCACAACATTGTCATCAAGACAGTAAAACGTTGGATAGTAAGATCCCAGTTTCCACTAACCTTTCTTCCCAGCTCTACGCAGGCGTAAAGGCCCCATGAAGACCCCAGAGCCAGAGTCCTCTGCAGTCCCACAGGACCCCCTGCACTGGTTTGGAATCCTGGTTCCTCATAGTCTACGGCAGGCCCAAGCCAGCTTCCGAGATGGTGAGCGAACTCTGCCAGTTGACCATGTAACCTTGGGCTAAATTCCAGCCCTCCACCTGTGAAGAGCACTTAAGCACTTACACCACATTAGGGTTTTGCAAGTTTTCTCCATTTAACCTTTTGTTGCATACCTTGTTTTTTTCCAAAAGCATATACTGGCTTTTGACAGCATTCTACCTTCATGCTAGCTGTCAGGGATACAGCAGAAAACATACATTCCCTTCGTGGAATGTTTATTTTCTGGAGAAAACGGACTGGAAGGCAGAGGGAGGAATTGGATGCCGGGAGCAGTTAGGTGTGAGATGCAAGTAGAAGAAGTGGAGGTGAGGTAAACAGTGGGAACTTGCATATGTTTTGGAAGTGGAAGCCCTAGCATTTGCTAACAGCTTGAATGCAGGGTTAAGGGAAGAAGGAGTCCAGGGAAGCCCATGTGTCCATGGAACTCCATCTTGGGAGGATGGAGCTGCCCTCACTTGGAATGGACAGGCTGCAGGGGAGCAGCTAAGGAGAAGTTGGAAGGTGAGTGTGGGTGTGGATGACTTCTTGTGTGTCTGGGTGGTCAGGCACATGCCTCTGGAGTTTGGGAGAGGCCTGGACTAGAGAAAGATTTGGGAGTCCACTGCAGAGTACTGGAGTTTAATTTTCCAAGTTGTTAACACATGCAGGATTAAAGCTGAGATGAGACCAGCAGAGGTCCTGTGGGAATGGACAGGAGGTGCTGGAGAGGAGACTGAGGAACAGCACTCACAGGTTGGGGGTGTTCCAGAAACCAGGGAAGAAAGTGTTTCCTATAGGGAGTAATGAGATACGTGATTAGTCCAGCTGTGGCGTGGGAGGCTGAAGACTGAGGACTGTGTGATGTGGAGGAATGGATGGCAGAGTATTGGAAAAAGTCACCTAGAGATGGATCCAGAATGTGGATCACTCTTAGGAGCAAAGGTAAAAGGTAGAGGGGGAGCAGGTAAAAACAGTAAAAGTGAAAAGGAGGGTAATGATGGAAGGAGGAAGGAAATGAGGCCATGAGATGGTGTTATGATCTATGATCCCTCATGGGTGATAAAGGTAGTCAAGGAAATCTGAGGAGGCAAAGACCTGAAGAAGGTG